TCTGTGTTCGTTTGTGTGTATGCATGTATATTTTCCTTTATTTTGTATATTTATCTTTGTGCAAGTATATTGATCTTATTTCTCTACTCGAACTTGAGATCGACGAAAGCTTCCGGGACATGGAAGGCAGCGGGGTCTTGGAAAGTAGGGTTCAAAGCCATGAACCTATTATTAGCACCATCGTATCTAAAGATATTCACCTTCCACGTGTCACATGGCTTGGGTATATGACCATCGATCCCACAAGCCTTGAGAGGAACAGGTATGCGGGCTTCAACTTTCCAAATTTTAGCATCCTCATCCACCTGTATCTTGAACTCAGATTGCGTGCTGTAGTCAAAGTCCTTGAGATCGTTCTGTAGGTCTACGCCTACATCTAACCACTCACCATTGGGTGCGAATTCCAGCTCAGCGTACACTTTTGGGTGTTCTTCATTGATCATAATGAACACCTCTACCACATCTTTTTCCCACAACCCCATGCGCCTGCTAGGTGTATCCACCCCGATATCAAACACCGTCAATGTGGTGTACCTACATTCCCATGCCATGTACAGATACTTGTCAGTATATAGTGCCTTTGTGGTAGTATGTAGTTCCTTTATAGGCTTACCAGTAACTGTGTCATTGCTGATTACTACGGCGTTGGCTTTGGACCAAGCGGCATTAGATGCATCGCCTGTTAGCTGGAAGTCTGAAGCTATATGTGCAGCAACGATGCACGGTTTATCAGAGGTATTACTTGACGACATCTTGCTGTTTTAATTGGGTGCTGGGTACTCGAAGACCTTATAACATTTTTAAATGCGCTTTTCTAATCGCTACTATCGAATAGCAGATGCAGGTGGCTTCCATCGTCATTCTTGTGCACTTCGGTTCAATTTAGCCTTAGAGTTAGGACATAGGAGGCTACGGCACTTTGTATCAAATGCCCCGCGGGATTGTACTGAATACCAAATAAGGAATAAAAATAAAATCAGAGTTGCAAGGGGAGCATTTTACCTTTTCGTTGTGTTGACCCCCACTGCTGGGCCCTGTTGTGATGTTGTCTAATTGAGGGTAGCCTCATGAGCCTGCACATATGTATCACATCTTTTCTATGAATGCCACAGATGATTACACACGTGGTGCTATTGATGGCGTTTTTGTTGACACTAAATAGCTAAAATGATTATTAGACTCCCGGGGCTCATACAAATCTTCATGCCGCGCGATTTGAGTGTGAGCGCGGTAACACCACTATTTATGTATCGTAGTTATATATGTAGTGCCTAGATTAATATGATGCAATAAAAATGCTTTTGTACTTGATGCATGTGACTTTCTATACTGATTATCTATCGTGCTAGATTAAGGTTTTTACTAAACAATTATACAACTATCTAAAATAATAAAAATAACAACATGCATCATACACGAAGTATAGAAAAGAAATATAGCCTCAGATGCACGTTACACAGGGTTTTAGGCACGTGGTTAGGATGAGTACTTCCTGCTGAAGTTGTATGCATGTAGGTCACCAATGGTGTGTGTGCTCCATTTTGAAACCGAAAGTTTATTTAGATAATATGGGTTTTTGTAAATATACAAGTACAGTCCAGGTTGAAGCTAAACAGTGGCCATAATCGCTCTATTGAAACTGTAAAAAATGTCATACAGCACTGCTCTCGGATAGCAGAGCCAAATTTTAAAAACATAAAGGTATATATTGTTTATTAAAAATGACTGAATACAGTATCGACAACAAGCACGGCGTTTGACACAGCCTCATTGTAACTTAGTAAGTCGAGAGCATCGTTTTTAACCATCGAGCACAATCTTGTATGTTGCAAGTGTTGGTTTCCATTATTTTCTGGTATACGGAAGCTTATATGTCTGGGGTGCAATGATAAGCTGAATTATTCCCCCCTCGATGTTGCGTCCCTGACCAATATCATTATGCACTATGCAGTTCATTGCAGTCCAGTGCGCCGTGCTGAATATGCGATACATGTTCTTATAATCCTCCAGTGGGATTTAAATCTCTACTGCATTGCTTGTATTAGCCAAACTACACACGCATTCATGCCTGATTTACATGGAAAAATACTGTCACGTTATTGTGACTGGATAAACAATGTAATGAAAGGAGAGCCGAAACAAGAAAACTAAGGCGGCGTTGGAAGGGGGTCAGAATATTCCTGTTGAAACCGTTTAGTATAGCGCGTGGGATACACAATCAGTCCATCATTGATCCGTGAAGTGTGCAGGAATATTCGAGTATAAAATGAGATCATGGAAGTTCCAGTCATTTCTGAGCAACACAACACTCGTTTTGGCAGTGGCGCAGGTGATACGGTGTCGAAATAAGTAACTTTTCATACCGCCATTGTCATTGATTTTTTTATGTAATAAGCCGGCCTCCACATTAGACTCTATGTTATAAATGTACTCTTAAGCAGTACGTAAATTATAAACGTACTCTTAATAGTACGAGGAACTTAAATTTCCTAAATGTACTCTTAATAGCACGAGGAACTTAAGTTTCCTAAAATGAGGTTTAATGGTTTTATTAATTAATACCCTTTTTTATTTTACATATCAGATATTTGGACGAGGCCATTAAAAGGCCTCAGTAAGATACCAAACATAAAGAGTTGGTCTAGTTCTATCATTAGAGCTTTATTTACTTTCCAACTTTATTTATATCTGAATACTTCGGTAGCGAGATGGCTCAATCGAATATAGCTTTCTAGGGACTATTAGCGTTACCTAGCTGATCCTCCGATCAGCCAACCAGATGTGCCAGTCTGATGAAGGCTAAGTCGGTAATTCTTGATAAGTGGCATGTCATTGGTTGACAATAACTAAGGACATCAAGAGTTTTTTTAATTTTTAATTTATTTTTCTAAAGATAGGATTTTATTGGTCTCTCGGATTCGCCCCAATGAAACATACCATAGTTTCTAATAGAGCGACAACGAAACACTAAATAAAATTCCTTCGGCGGAAACAATACTGAGAGGATTATATATAGGCAATGTCTCAGCCTCACAATCCCTCAGAGTATTGCTATTTTCACGAGGCATACCTAACTTTACTAAATGTCTTATTTCGTTTATTTACTTTGATATTTTTAGGATACGTAGAATTTACCTACGCGTATATTTATTCTAAGGCGTTAATATCGCCTTGAGAGACCGAATCTTACACATTTTAAAGTTAGCAAAGGTATTGACTACTTAGACTACTTCAACGTAACGGTAGAAAACTGCCACAATTTTTTTCTTGTCCAAGCTAGTCCTTAAGAGACCAGCTAGCAGTCATAAATTAAGATTGTGACCAAGAAAGACAATACTCCTTCTAAGAAGCGTAAAGCTGAAAAGAAGAAGATGGAGAGAGACGCCGCTACTGCAGCCGCATTTAACGCGACCGCAGAAGAGGACAATCAATCCGTCACCGAAATCATTGCTACTGGTATTAATAACCAGAACAATAAACAGAGAAGGGTGAAGACACTCCATTAAGAGAGAAGTTCCCTGAAGTAAAAGCCCGCGGGCCAACTATTGTGTCTGCTTCGAAGCTTACGTTTACGAAGCCAAGAAGCCAAGCAAAAGGATCGGTTAAGACGATCCCTACTAAACCACTACAGCGACTATGAGAGCCATACAATATGTTTATACATTGTATCATACATACTTACTAAACCTGATGAGAACACTCAAAAGGATCTAACTCCAATTACGGAGAAAGGAGACAACCCGCTTAAGGGAGAGGATGAGAAGGAAAGCTCAGAGAGCCGACCCGAATCAAAATCAAACCAGCCATCGCACATAAGTAAGTTGATCGATGAGAACACTGAACTTAAGAATCAGTTAGCCGCTCTTAAGAAGCGAATGACCTCGCAGGAGAAGGCGGTTGTTAAGAAACCGCGGTAGCAGACCGATCAAGGGTACGTATCCAGGCAGACCTCAAATGAGAGACCCCAACATACACGTCCACGTGAATCTACTCAATTTACACGCCCTGTTAAGAAGGTGCGTGCGGAGCACAGGGAACCTGCATACAAGCAAGTTAATAAATGTGCTGATGAGAAATGTAGTTATGACATGTACCAATTAACCCATAACGATTATTGGAATGGCAGGTATGCCCAATCTTGTACATACTTTCTTATTAAGTACGATAAATGTGAGAATACCAATGGCTACCACACTAAATCGTGTACGGTCAGACCCGACATTAAGTTAGACTGACGATACTATCGGGTACAATCGTTACACAGACAGTACAACGACTCTTTAGATGAGCGTGTAATAATCCCTGTATATTGCAATAGAAATAAAATCCTTGCGTTGATTGATCCTGGTTCAGAAATATCATGTATATCCGATCGCTTTGCATTAATGAAAGATATTGAAAGAAGAACACAACAACTCACCTCATTTTAGCTGATGATAAAACTTCTAAGTGTGATACCATGGCCACAGATGTTAAAATCTTCTTGGCTGATGATAGGAATATCACTACCCAAGCTGTGATAGTTAAGATGTCACAGAAGTACGACATTATAGTCGGAATGAGCGATTTACTCACTCTAGGTATAGCCGTAACTGGTCTACCAAATAATATAGATCCATTAAAGGATCAATTAGACGATAACTGTCTGAACCCATATAAGCCCCCGTCAGACACAGTCAAGGCATTAATACCTGACTTTGCGAACAAACTAATGGATCTGATTGCAGTTAATAGGAAGATAAAGATCACAGATTGGGCAAAATTTTGTTTTAACGACGGATATGTCAGCCTTGACTTAACCAAGGTAGACGTTACACAGTTAAGATGTCCCTCAAGGAACTATGTATCCTGGAGACACGAGGCTGTGGTAAAAGAACAAGTTGAGAAATAGCTAGCAGATGGAGTGATAGAAATTAACTATCAACAAACGCCAGTAAACTTGGCGCTGCTAGCCGTAGACCAACATAACTCTAACGGATCGTTGAAGAAAGTCAGAGTATGTTTAGATATGAGTCCAATAAATAAATTATTGCCGACTCATAGCTTTCACTTACCTCGCACTAACGAGCTACTGCGAAGGATGGAAGGTGCTACAGTATATACAACTATAGACCTTACACAAGGATACCATCAAATGCAGGTATATAAACCACATCGTAAATACTATAGTTTTACGTGGAAAGGTAAACAATACAGGTTCAGAGGTGCACCTTTCGGGTTACACTCTTTACCAGCATTCTTCCATCAAGTAATGGAGGAAATGTTTGCAGACATGCCTAACGTGCAAGACTATATAGATGACAGTCGTCTTTTCTAAGACTACAGGCGAACATGCCGCATTAGTCAGACGAGTCCTTAAGAGACTCGATGAGCAAAACTTCAAGATTAACGAGAAGAAATGCCACTTCGCAATGAGCGAAATACAGCTCTTAGGCTACCATATATCTGGGGAAGGTATTAAGATCGACCCCGGTAAGGTAGAACACCTGTTAGATTGGCGAACACCAACTTCAGGAAGAGATGTTAACAGCATGTGTGGGTTTGTAAACTTCTTTTCAGATGGAGTACCACACTTGGCTGACT